GCCGATGTATATCGCTAATTTTCCTGTTATCGGTCATACATCGAAGTATGACCTTTTTTCGGTCTTACATTTCAGTATGACCCTTTTTCGGTCGTACATTTCAGTAAGACCGTTCAAGGGGGGTCCCAAAACCCGGGCCCCTTTTTCCCCCTTTTTCATGAAATTTGGATCGCCAAACCGCCTTTCCCAGGGAAGGGGCAAAAAACCTTTTGAAAGGGGACAAACCCCCCGGTGAAAATGGGAATAAAACTTGGTTTTAAGCGCCGGCAAAAACCCCAAAAACTCGGCCCCCATGGCCTTCCGGGGAAGTACCTGGGGGTTAGGTGGTAGTTCCCAACGTCATGGCCCGGGGGAAAGGAGGGTTTTTTGGCGCCCAAAGTTTAAAAAGGTATGAATTCCCAAAATTTTGGGCCCGAATTCACCCCTTTAAAATAAAGGTGTGCCTTTTTCCCGGGTTCCAAACCCAGGCGAAACTTTAGCTTGACGTAAACCCTAAGAGAAAAAATCCTTGGGTTTTAAGGCGAAAAACCAAAATTGGAGCTAGGGCCTTAAGGGACCCCGTGTTCTTATTAACGTTTTGGGAAAGAAAGGGGCGAAAATTTCGTTGAGTTCTCCCGTTTTGTTTGACATCCATGTTCCGTCGTTTCGTTCAGCCCACAGTACTAGTTTGGTACACTTTCCCGTTCTATTTCTTTCGATGGAAGTGAAACTTTTGTTCAGATTTTGACGCACTGCAAAGCCCAAGTTTGCTTTCCACAAATGTGGCATTCAAAACGGCCTGCCGATTTCATGGCAAACAAACTTCCCCCTCGCTTTGCAGTGAAATGGGGGAAAACTGTGCAGTTTTTAATGTGAGAATAGTACGAGAAATTCACCTGCTCCACAAAACACAACAGCGTACCCTGCGAAATTGTGCAGAAAGATAACAGTTACAAGAAACAAAGGAATGAATGAAAAATCAGAAAGCAACATTTTGACGCTAAATTAGCCAAATTTAGAAAAATGCAAATATCTCTGGTTCTATTTGAGCTAGCCAACTTTCCTTCTAGGGTTGATAGGTCCTAGTGGTACCTATTGAACTCACAAAGTTTGAACCGAATCCGTGACCCGATCCCAGATCTCGGTCCACCTTGGGGTGGAGTTACTTCCCCTTTTTGTTCTTTCCACAG